GATCGGTGTACAGCCATCTGTAAGCCCCTGCTGTACACACTCATCATGTCCCAGCGGGTCTGTGTGCAGCTGGTTATAGGGCCTTACGCCATAGCTATTATAAGCACCATGACCCATACAATTTTGACTTTTTCCTTACCCTTCTGTGGCCCAAACATAATCAATCATTTTTTCTGTGATATTTCCCCGTTGCTTTCCTTAGCATGCGTTGACACAGGGATCACTAAGTTGGTGCTTTCTACTGTGGCTGGAGCTATAGGAGTGCTCAGTGGCACGATCATCATGGTGTCCTATGTGTGGATCACAGTGGCCATCCTGAAGATCCAGACTGCCCACGGGAGGTGGAAAGCTTTCTCCACGTGTACCTCCCACCTGGCCACAGTCTCAGTGTTGTTTGGGACTCTTTTCTTCATCTATGTCCGACCTAGCTCGAGCTCGTCTCTGGGTATCAATAAAATGATTTCTCTGTTTTATACTGTGGTCATCCCTGGGTTGAATCCCCTCATTTACAGCTTGAGGAACAAGGAGGTGAAAGAGGCATTCAAGAGACAGGTGAAAAGGAAGCTCTCTGTGCTCGGTGGGTGAGATAATAGCTATTAGTGTGGTGCCACTGACGGGGCAACATGTGCAGAGAAAGGATATTAGCCTGAATCAAAGCTTGCGAGTGAGTCCTGGTGCTGCCTGTTCACAGAATAATTGAGAAGTGCAGAAATACTTAAATATTTGTCTTCCTCTGTCTTGTTCTCTGTGACAGATGTGTATTCAAAATAATGCAGACATTGATTGAAAGCGCACATGTAAGAATATAGTAGAAGAAAGCTTAGGTGAATATTTGTATTATCTTGGGCGTGTGAATGTCTTTTATCTCAATTTGAAAACTAAAAATTTTATAGGGAAGATCAAAGCTCTACAAGTAATCTTAAAAATAAAATAATAAAACAATGACAGTATATGTGATTATGTGTGAACAATCTGATAATAACTGCACTTTGCAGAAAGCAGCCTCAAATCACAGTAAAAAATATGATAGGCAAATGTGCAATGAAAGACCCATAACTGTTGGGAATATAAAATCTAGTTACAAAAATATGTGTAAAAAATGTTCCAAGTCATATGAATTGAGTAAATGAGGAAAAGCTAAAGTGCCAATGCATTGTCCTTCCTCACAGATGATACATTAAGGTTTTTACTCTTGACGAGCTTCTTATTTCACTCTGCACACTCATTTTCTAGTGGAAGTGTGGTTGGCTTCATTTCTGTGTAGAACTCTGGTTGTTTACATTTAAAGTAATGCATTTACATGCCTTTTGTCGTGCTTGCTCAATATGCACTAATTGTACGTGCTAAGGGAGTTTATTGTGATATTTCAACACCCGCAGAACAGCATGAACTGATCAAATAAGGGTATTAACATTTCCCTGTTCCTGTCGCTTCTTTATTTGGAGCTTCAAGGCTCCTCTCCTTCAGATCTTCATAAAAATATTCAGCTGATTATTGCAGACTACTGTCACCACCCTGTGCTGGAGAATATCAGAAATTATTCTTTTAATCTCACTCTATTTTGGTACTGTTTATTCAATCTCCCATTTATCCACACTCACCCTAAACCCTTTGTCTCAGAACCGCTCCTTTAGAAATTCTAAACACAGCCATATAAATGTCAATGCATGAAAAATACATATATTATAGCATTATGAGTAGTGACAAAGAAAAGTGAGGGAAATAACTGAAATATCATTGGTGGAAAAAAAGAGTAGTCATTCTCTGAAATGTGTTATGGCAAATACCAAGAATGAATAGGGTATTCATGGACTAACCTGGAGAGATCACTAATTTGTCTGATAACTGCTAGGTTAAAAAGAATTTAGCTATACATCAATGTGTAGCACTGATCATATATTTTAAAAAAGCAGAGATTACATAATGAATCAAATGTGCTTATATATGCATGTCCATATGCACATAGAGAACTCTGCAGGGCACACACCAGCCTGTGGATGTTGGCTTTTTTCTTTCTTTTATTTTTAGTACTGGGATGGATGTTGGCTTCTTCAGTGTAGTTCCTTTCTTTTTTATTTTAAAGAGGAAAAAGGTAAACAATCAATGAAACTGAGTTTTGAAACAGGTTAGTAGGACAGTTACAATAGTTGATACGCTGAGTATTGTTGTCTTTGTAGCAGTTGATCAGAGAACAAGATACAGGCTCGATATCTTGTCTAAACAGTATCAGCACAAAGCATCCTTTCAAAGAACTAAGAGAAGCTAGTTGTAAAACTATCTTCACTCTCTTGTGCATAGATATATTTTCACGTAGTTCCTTTCACATAGATTTAAATCATAGTTTATTCAGGTTCTGTGGTTTTGCTGGGGCTTATTCAGATTTACTATTTTGGCCTGATGATAAATTTCCACTGTGCTGGTCTAAGTAGGTACTGTAGGATCTGAAAGGACCCCCCGCTCTATGAGCTGGCCTGGATGCATACCCATGGTGCTCCTGGGACAGGCACAGGGCAGGGGATGTATCTTGAAGGCTACACAGTTTTTGCCTGCAAACAATATAGACTTGGTTCTGAGTCTTGAAACTGAGTTAATCACCTGCAGCTTCAGGCATCTCCATGCTGATTCTTTAGCATGGCTACAGTCTCCAGTGTCATCAGGTCTGCTGTAACGTGTGCTTACATGGCGGGGCTGCTCATGCTTTGACCCTGTGCTCTCCTGCACGGCATGTCACCCAGCACTGGCAAGCACTGTGGCATTTGATGTGGACTAGGACAGAATTCTAGCTGTGGAATTTGTTGTCTCCAAACTCACGGAGTCTTATCAAGACAGCATGTCTCTTTCTTTGTGAAATGTGCTCTGAAGGGAGCATTCCAGCATGGTCCCAAGCACTGAGCCTTTAAAAGCTTGCAAAAGTGTCAGATTTCCAGCTCGTAATACAATTTATCTCACACACTCTGGAGCACATGTGTTTTACCAAAGCTCACAACATTTTCATAACCACTCGGGTGACCCTCTTTATGAGGATGATATCATTAATGCAGTGGGTGGGCATGGTGATGTTTTTTTCTATTTCTATTTTTATTTTTATTAGTACATGTTTGCAGTGCAGAATGGTTACATTCCTCATGGGGACTTGCTACATGGACATTACACATGTCAAGTCTATTTTCATCCCCTCCCTTCTCCTCATCCCTCCTTCCAATCTCTTGGTTTCCCTTCCAGTTTGCAAAAGATCTGTCTCCCCATTTCCTATGACCTACCTTTTTTAGTTTGCTCTTCAATTTATTTATATTTTGGGCATGGTGTTTGGGGCCATATTTCTGTAGATTATTTATGGGCCATATTTCTGTAGATTATTTATTATTTATGATTATTTATACAAGTGTGAGAGAACTAACACATCCATGAGACAAAAATATAAATAAATATTTTTTCTTCTCTCTTGAGTGTACACTTTTTGAATCCTTTTTTCTAAAGATAATAGAAAAGAATACTTTCCTCAAAGCACTGAGCACATTTCATGTTTCAGCCACTCTGTAAACGTGCAGTAGAGCACTGCTATTGGGGCTCTTCTTGGTTGAACTTGAGGGAGTCTGAAGTCATTCTCCAGAGGCCATGTGGCATCTCCAGGGGTCAGACTGCTGAATTAATTAACAGAGGCACGAAGAACACTACTGCAAGCTTCCTGCTTTGTGTGGTGGTTTTAATTTTGAGATTCAATTATTTTGGAATCCTGCCACCCCCACTGACCCTAGAAATCTTAGATCCATAGCAGCATCACACAGTCCGGCTCCTCATCAAGCTGCAGTCTTCCTCACTAATGCTTTTTATTGCTTTAGTGGAAAAAGTGATCTTCGGGTCTTCTTGGGGAACACAGTCATCTGATACCTCCTTTGGTCTTTTATAAGAACGCATTTCAAGCATCTCTACATCACTAAGCCTTTGGGCCCCTTTCTCAACATCTCCTGGGGCAGTAACGGCATCTCCACCTCACTTACTAAGTGCTCTAACTTTTCCAAGAGCCAAGAAGCCATCCTACTATAAACCATCGCCCTTGCCCTCTATGAAAGGTCCAGTTTCACTGCTGCCTGATGAAGCCAAAAAACCAAAAGACACAGTGTTTGGGGGAAGAAAGAACTATATTGGCAATGTGTCGGCAAGTTCGAAGTTGGGGCTTTTGCTCTGAGAAAGTCACTTTGCTTTGTGGTTGGAGGGTAAGGCTCTGATGGGTATATATCAGAGGAGGTATGTCACATGTCAGCTGCTGGTTTAGTTACAAATTTCAGGTGGTCTACTTTTTTGACGTACAGACTGGTGGTACCTGTAGGTCACAGAATGTTCTAGCTTCTATAAATCTAGAGAAATTTACTGATTACAACTTATTAAGTCTTATGGCTCAAATCCTTTTCCCAACAATAGCTAATTCTTCAGTTATTAATTAGAATAAAAAGCTGTCTTTCATCCAAAAACAGGAAGACAGCAAAAGACAACTGTATTTCAACACAGGAGAAGATAGCCAAAGGGAAGATAACAGACAAGCACCTTTTGCAGGAAAAGATAGTGAAGTGGAACTTTCCAAGAACAGTTTTCACCCCTTGGGTGGCTTCAGAGATCTAACAGACAGCAAAGTTAGTTACTGGAAAACTAATAATATATTGCTCAGTTGTGTGACCTCTAAACTTGGTGATTTTCAAAATCAACTAAAAACAAGTGGACCTAAAAGGTGTATTCAGGCTTCTTTCAGTTTCACTCTGGTGCATTAGGATCAGTTCCTAGTGTTTTACGTAGAAGCTAATTTTTGTTCCTGACCTTTTAGGGCTGGGTTATGGTTTGTGTCTGTATGTCCCCCCCAAATCTCATGCAGTCCTGGGGTGGATTTTTAGAGTTTATGATTGATCCATGATCCAGTGCTGGGATTATGGGTGGGAGCGCTACATCCACCTGGGGCAGATAGTTTGCATATGTAAGGGAGAGAAAGAGGCTGCTTGCCTGCTCTCCTCCCTTTTGCTTTTGTGGCTTTTGCTATCTTTTGCCACTATAAAAGTTACCCTCTGCCATGTGCCCCTTTTCCTTGGAGCCAGCGGAGTATGGACTGAAACTTCCACAAACTGTGAGCTATATAAACCTTTCCTTCTTAATTTTGGGCATCAGGTAGCTTGTCTCAGCAATGTGAGAAAAGAAACCAAGATGGATTGTCTCGTGTCTGTAAATTTTTCCTTACTCAGCTTTATATTTACCCCCCACTCTAAGTACATTACCCTCAGGGTACACACCCTCACATTTTCACAGAAGATGCTGTTGCGGAGAAACTTGAAGATTCACCCACAGAGGGCAAGGAAAGACAAACAAGCTTTATTAGCTGGTGGACGACATTCAGTTTGGAGTTGAGAATGTCAGCCCCAAGTGGGGCTACAGCTAAAGATTTTATAGGGTCAGGGTTCTGGGTGGTTGAGGAGGCAAGAACATTTCCTTATTTGGCTTGGAATGTGTGCGTGCAGCAGAAATTTGCATAACAGGGTGGGGAGGGCTGCCTATTCTCTCCACTGTGTCCTTTTATGGGCTGGAATGTCCTGCCATACAGGAAG